CCCTTCTTTCCCAGTAAATCCCATTTGTCGTTGCCTGTACAAAAGTGGAGTATGTTTGAAAACCACAATAGGACAATGATAAAACAGAACTGAACAAAGGAAGAGGAACAGCGCTGGCCTGTTGCAGTAAATGAACTCAGTCAGGTTATTGTCCACCTATGATGCTTTTCTTCCCCATGCCTCCCCTCTCGGTCCATAGAATGGGAAAGGAAAAGGGAGAAGGGATGATCTGGAACCAGAATCTTAAGAGAGATAGATACTGTATAATACTTCCATTCATGATATAATCTTCTTGCATGATAGGTTTAAATAACCAAAGGTAGCAACTAACAACATAACCGAAAGTAACTACTGGTTAACCATACATAGGATAAGATAAAACAAGATAAAACTACCATAAGACATGTAAATCGTACTAGAACAAACTAGCAGAAGAGGTGGCATCCAATCATTAATACCCCCTCCCCCCGGGGGTAGGAGAGAAGCCTTTTCCTCAAGGCTGAAAGATGGAAACTGAGGAGTAATTAAGTCACAAGAGAATCTCAGCCAAATTTGCTTCTGGAAAAACTTCAGTCTCTTCGAGTTGTTGGTTACTATCTTCAACTTCATCACTTAATTGCATTAGCTTTGTCTCTCCTCAACTGTTTCTCATTTTGGGATAATGCAGAAGTGGGGTTAACTGTCAAAGAACTGCTAGTAACTGACATTGATTGGTTTTTGGTATGTGGAATAAGAAGTAATTGACGATAGATTGCCAGAAACTGTACTGGGTAACTAGTTCATGACATCATATTTATTTTCCCTGGAATTAAAATTGCCTTCTGTGACATGTGTACCATTCACATGCTGATTAGATCAACTGGAATTTTGACTCTGTAACTTGGCTTCAAATTCCAGTGCCAAATTTGCAGCCTCATAAACAGTTTCGAGCTTCTAAATTTTCACATCTGCTTGTAATTCCTCCTTTAATCCATTAATAAAAGCACCTAATAAACAATATCCAGGCCATCCAAACATTCTAGAAGCATGTTTGGCAAACTCCTGTCTATATTCCTTGACTGTTCTTGTTTCCTTAATGCTGCACAAACATACATCAGGATTTTGGAACGCTGCTGGACTGAAATTTTCTTGAAAAATCTGCACCAATTCATCCCAATAACGGATAGATCTTCGAGATTAAACCCATGTGAAAATCTCCAAAGCATCACCCTTCAAATACATTGCTGATACATCTACTCTAAGATCCTCTGGGATTTGGTAGTATCTAAACTACTTTTCTGCTTTCATAAACCAGCCATGTGGATCATCTCCCTCAAACTTCGGAAACTCTACCTTGGCGTGTAGTCGTTTGGATGGATTCTTGCTCCCCATAGGCTGTCATGCTCATTGTCTTCATTTTCTTCATGCATTTGCCTTGGGTCTACATTGATTAGACCAGGGTGAGAAGGACTCGACTTCTGCTTCTTCAATTCTTCTATATCAGTATCCAAACGGGAGAGTTTTTGCACTGTCAATGATAGTTGCTCAGTGAGGATATCTTTGGAAGACAGCAAATTCAGATCACTTGGTGGCGGGGACGTCCTGGATGTCTCCGGAGTGGTGGTAGGTAGGATAGGTTGATAGTTGAGTGTGGTATTTCGAGTATTAACCATTGAATTCTGGTAGGTCCAAGATCAATGCTCTCATACCAAACTGTTAGACTCAAGAGAGAAGTTATTAAAGGGGAAGGGAAATCGATGAGAAGGAGAAAGAAAAAGAGAGAAGGGATGATCTAGAACCAGAATCGTAGGGGAGGGAGAGATAGATACTGGCTGTGTCGTACTTCCATTCATAATATAATCTTCTTACATGATACGTTTAAATGGCCAAAGGTAGTAAATAACGACATAACCGAAAGTAACTACTAGTTAACCATGCATAGGATAAGATAAAACGGCATAAAACAACCATAAGACATATAAAACTACCCTTAAACCTCACGTCTCTTCCTAGAATAAACCAGGAGAGGACGTGGCATCATATCATGCCCTTTGGGAGCTTGAGGCATTACAAAGGACATTTGAGGGAGACACATAAAAGACCACAAACCTGAAATGGTTTGAGGAAAGAGAGGAAAAACATCTTGCAGTTACCCTCGAATCTGCAAACTGGGAATTGGCTGATGCTGAAGAGGAGTTGAAGTGGCTTAAGTCCACTGTTACTTCTTCTAAGAAGACCAAATTCTAAAAGATTTGGAAGCTATCCAAATTAAGTTGGATGCTGAAAGGCATTTTCCTATCGAAGAAGCTTAATGGTTTCTAGTCTGTATCAGTGTCAGATTTGTGTCAATATTACATATTTCAATTTAAATAGTGAAGTTTTAGAACTTTTAACTTCTCTTAATTTTTGTCCTTATCCCTTATTTCTTGCTCAGTTCTGTTTTCTATCAAAATCAAGGTGCACTTCATTTATAAAATGGTTCAGTGAGATATGTTTGGCTTACCATGCAAATTGGCTAATCTACATCAATTATTAACCACTTGTATTTGTAGCATAGGGTGGCTGGTGGTCTTAAAAAAAAACTATAATGGATTACGCGCGTACCTAAAACCCAAAAAGTCTTGGTATATGGTTTGTTTCTAATACAGTGCTTAGTTTTTTTGGGTTACTGAGTTTGCCAGAATGACATTGTTAAATGGCTCGGGAAATCTCAAAGTTGGATAACCAGTCGCCAAAAAAGACAAACCCAGATTATCAAAACCAAGGACTCAAATTTATTGCTTCAGATATCACGTTTATGGCTTTTATCTTTCACATTCCAGACACAACTAATCTTATACATGTTTTGTATTGATTCTTTGCAACTACTCTAACATAACCACTACTGTGTAAGATTTGTATTTTTTAGCATCTAAAAGTCCAAACTTCAGTTTTCATATTGTGCAAGTGTCCTGTTTAGATAAAGCTTTATGTAAATAATTTTAACGTTTGTTTAATTTAATGATGTCATCATCTTTGAATGCAGTGATAATAAAGTCAACAAATACGGAAGCATATGCTTTCCGGATTCTGTATATGTCGGCTGCGTTGCGATAAGAAAGGACGAAAACAAGGCAAAAAAATCTAGAATAGTTGAATAATCTACAGTTATCCGCTTCAAATAATTTGATACAAAAAAGAGAAGTTACAAAATAAATTTACTCGCCTAATATATCTAAACTTATTATCAAATATATATTTAAATGTTATGTTATCTATTACTATATTTGATTTTATAAGATTTTGTTAACTAATTTATTGAGAGGTTAAAAAAGTTACTAAATTATTTAGTTATAGCACATATTACATGATCTCTCTAAAATACTCATGTATATCATTAAATTACAAATCAATTTATAAGTGAGACAGTTTAATTGGTTTGGAGAAAACTAATAAATATAAATAATTTAAAATAATTTAGTAACTTCCTTAATTTTTTAAAATTAATTAATTGAAATTTATATTAAAGACAGATTGTATAAATCAACGAGCCTAAAACAAAACTTACATGTGAAAATATAAATTAATTATTTTCTTTGGAGTTAAAATGAAATTTTTCTTCAGTTGTAATTAGCTGTTGGGTAAACTAAGGAACTCGAATTTCACCAGAGAGACGGACTAGAGAAGAGCGGGTAACGATTTTATTTTCGGTGCATCGAACTCTAACGTGGTTTAAAGACCTAAAGTAAAAAAGGTGAAAGAAAAAAAAAGAAGACCTAAACTAAGAGAGTTAATCATGACCACGAAAAAGCCAAGCAGAACAGGGGGTCAAAGAAGCTATATATCTTGAATGCAAAAAACAATAGACAAGAAAGAGATATACTACCTCGTCCTTGATATAAAATTTTATTTGATTTTTATTTTAGTCTTAAATATAAGATCCTAATCTACTTTGTTTCTTATATTTATACATTGTTTTTCCAAAGTAGCCATTCTAACAATGATAGTTCTGGTTAATACACTTAATTAGCAAGGATATTTTAGAAAAGATAACACCTATTTAAGACAAATAACTAACTCAACTTACTTTTTTAATCTCTTCAAATTAGTCAACTGGCTCTTATAATTAGAACCGGAGGTAGTGTTTAGCTTTTAGATCAATTTAATACTACTTCCAGTTCTTAACATAAAAAATAATTAATTTAATATTTAATTTGGTTATAAATATAAGACACTAATCCATTTTATCTATCATACTTATTCATTTTTTTTTCAAAATAGTTCTTTGTAGTTGTTGCATATATTAAAGGTTTCATCAAATGATAGTTTTAACTAATACACATAATTAATAAGTGTATTTTAGAAAAGATAACACATATTTATTACAAATACCTAATTTAACAAACTTTCTTAATATACTCAAATTAGTCAATTAGTTGTTATATTAAAAACTAAAGATAATAGTTATTATATAATATAGAAGTATTAAGAAAATTTGTTAAGTTAGTTATTTATAATGAACTTGTGGTGATTCTCCTTAAATATCATTTTTAGTAGGGGTATTCAACTATGTCTCGTCTTGGCATCGCATCCTATCCTCATTCCCGGTTATTCTGGGACGAGATACTCCCATCCCGAAAACTTTCAGAATGGGAGTGTCTCGTTCCAATATATTATCTTTATTTTTAATTGTTATGAATTTATTTTATTTATCAATGTAATAGTATTTTACTTAGGATGGGAGAGACGAGAGATAAAACGAAAATCCTATCCGAGATTGGATCGTCTTTGTCCCATCCCATCTTATAAACACACCTAATCTTTAGTCATTTGAATCGTAACCAATGTTGATAAAAATTTCCTTCATATATATGATTAACAAGGATACTTTAAAAAAAAATTTAAATTTTGAAACACAAAGTAAATTAAAGTTTTATATATATTTCAAATCAAAATTTTTTTATCTAATTCTTATATAATTAGGACTGAAAGTAATAGTTTTCATGGAACCAAAGCGTCATGCGCCTTGAAAAAAAGAGATACATCAAAATACATAGTAATCATAATTGAGACTTTATTTATTTCCCACCAAAGAGAAGCGCATACATAAAGTAGATGTGCTGAGAATGGCTTCTTATTACAACATTGCATGGTTCTTTATGTGGGGAAATAAGAACACACGGAGCCATTAACTAACTTATTCAAGGGCAAAAGACAACCCTATAGTTAGTTCCTGATCGGCAACTATGAGTTTTAGTATTGTCCGCAGGGAAAAGGTAAGCATCAGGACACTTATCAGCAAGGCATCGAAGACTTCTACATCCACTGGAAGTTGGACTAAACTCCATGGGAATATTAAAACCATCGATCACTGAGATATCGTAGTAGTCCAAATTATTGGATTGGTTAAGAGAGAATTCTGCAAGTGTGGTAGGTGGTGCCCCAGAGAGACGGCATTGGAGCACACCGCCACAATCACCGGTGCTGCAGTGGCCACGACCCGACCCGTCAAAGTTGCAGCCGGTTCGGCCCCATATGCGACCGCTGGTGGTGCCGGCGGGCACATCGAGGGACCATGTCTGACCAGAATTCAGTCGTCGGCCGCCACCGGTGGGCAAGGCTGCCGGCCACACTGTGTAGGAGCATCTGTTTGTGATATCAAACCTGGCGGCCTGAGCAAAAGTGAAGCTAAGAACCAGAAGGAGGGAGAACAAACAAAGGCTTTTGAGGGGAGTCATTTTTGGGAGCTAAGTTATGCGGTGATTGCTTTGTGAAGAAGATAGACTGCAACAATGGATATATATAGGGTTCAGTAAGCAGTGGTTTCACGCTATTGAAATTTAAACGATACAGATAATGCCTGCCTGGGCGTATCTACATTACACACATACAAATATATATGTATATGTATATATGTATCTGTATATATGTATATTATAACTATGGCGGGACTCCATTATGCCAGTCAGGTTACGGGTCAACATAATTTATATATATATATATATATATATATATATATATAGACACACACGTATGTAAAAGCCGGTAATTGGATACAATGGATTATAAGCTTTTACATAAAATGCTGCGTTCAGAATGACGATACGCATATGACTTGGACAAAGATGGCTCACATTCTTAGCTGGTATTTGAAGTATCCAAAGTTTGTCAACTGAATACTTTTTATTTAATCTCCAAAAGTTAAATAAATAGTTTTTTTTGTTGAAAAAACAAGACCAGCTGTATGTTGATATGCTAGAATTTACGGAAAAAAAATGTTATGCCTTAGTTTTGTCATTTTTAATGTTAGCAATACTGCAGCGTACTAAAACATAATTAGTAGCACCTTAACACATATGTATTCATTGCATATTTTCATGATGTAAAATATCATCGCGTGGAAGAACAAATGTTATATCTAAATGCTTGAATTAATATAGTTGAAATTGTTTGTGAAATGTAGATGTTGCTACGCCCTTTTTGGTGTCCTTAAATGGAAAAAGGATTTATGAAATATATATATATATATATATATATATTCCGCTTATAATTAAGAAACAAAATCAAAGCCCTTAATGAATTATTTCAAAGCGATGTGAACATATAGCAATTCATCAGTTAAAAAAGTTTCATACTCATTCTTTCTTTTTTAGAAGGCATCGCTAATCACTTCAATAAAACCAAAGGGAGATGTTTAAATCATTAATTTTATTTAAAAATAAAAGAATTAACTTAATCTTATTTAAAATCATGAATTACATTCTGCTGATCAGCCATGGAAAAAAATTACGTTATATTTGAAATATGAGCAATCCAAAAAAATACAATTAATATCACATTTAATGACAAATAATAAGGATGGTCCATTCATTCTAAAATATGTGCGCCAGCTAATAAGGACCTCTTAGTGCGTATAGGCGTATAGCTTCTTCTTTTTTCTTTGTACAACACGTATAGGTTTTTATTACTACCTCCTATCTTAATGCAAAAATTAGTTTGTCTTTTAATTTGGTTTTCAATATAAACCTCTAATCAATTTTGTCTCTTATATTTATTTATTTATTTTCAGGATAGTTCTTGACTCTTTATAGTTGTTGCACATGTTAAAAGTTTCATCAAGTGGTAATTCTAGCTAATACACATAATTAACAAGGGTATTTTAGGAAAAACAATACCTATTTATTACAAATAGCTAACTTAACTAATTTTTTTAATGTACTCTAATTAGTCAATTGGCTCTTATATTAACAACTTGAGATAATATTACACTATTTCCCGGTCCTTAATATAAAAGCTAGTTGAGTAATTTGAGCATATTAAAAAATTTACACTATTTCCCGGTCCTTAATATAAGAGCTAGTTGAGTAATTTGAACATATTAAAAAATTAGTTAAGTTAATTATTTGTACTAAATAGGTACTGTCTTTCCTAAAATATCAATGCTAACCAAACGTATTTGCTAGAACTACCATTATTAAAATGACTATCTTAAAAAAAAAAAAATATGAGAAACAGAATAAATTGAGATTTTATATTTAAGATCAAAATAAAAATTAAATAAATTTTTATATTAAGAATCAGAAATAGAATTAAGAAGATCCTGAGCCATGACATCACCGTGAAGGACCAAAAAAAATTAGTGACCTGTGAGCATCATAGCATTTATTAATTGACATATACGCATGCCGACTTTGTCAAGCCCAAAACAAAGACTTTAAATCAGCTGCGAATCCGCCCTGGGCCTATCCCTACCCCCTTCCTCTCTCCAAAAACGAAAATTAAGGTTAAAAAACAATGCTAACAACCGATTTTGTAGGCAAACTGCAAAATCCCTAGTTTTGCATTTTAAAATTCTCATAATAGGGAGAGGGGGTCTCCCCACTTCTCATTTCCCTCCCTTTCTGTCAACTTCTCATTTCAACTATTAAAATTACAATTTGAGCAGTCCAGAGATTTCATATTATATGAAATAATTCTATAAAATATTTTTTAAACTAAAGTATGCATTCTTTTTGAACTGAAAGGCTAAAATACATATTTAATCCTTTAACTTTATGAAGAGTTTTAATTTGGTCCATTAACTTAAAAAATTATACTATTAATTCTTTAACTTTAAAATTATCAACAAAAAATGATGACTTTAAAATCTTAAATGTTGATAAAACATTCTCAAGTGCTAACATATTAAGTTTAATTTTAAAACAACCATAATTATTACAAAAAAATTATTATTAACTCCAACTATTTTAGAGTTAGAGGACCAAATACATGCTTTTTAAAGTTAAAAAACCAAATTGAAACCTTATATAAAGTTAAAGAACCAAATGTATACTTTATTTTATTTGTTATTATTGTTTTAAATTATCACGGCTAAAATTTATTAGTTTAATTTTATTTTTTTAAAAAAAATTGACATTTTATTTATGATTTCATAATTTTGTAAAAGATGAAACCTTGATTGTCAAAATTGCAATCTTATGATTGAGATGGAAATTAAGTGGATGAAAATAGAGGGGAAGGGAAGTGGACAAACCCTCTCTCTTCATAAAGGTGTTTTGTTTCTTTCATTCAGCTTAACAATAGATGACATTTTAATATTTTGGTAAGGTAGAATTTGCATCCAAACATCAGTCCGTCTTGAAATTTTGAATACATGATTGAAACTAAATATTGAGGTCTGCTAAAAAAATGTTTTAAGTTTGAATCAAATATTGTTGTACAATTAGAGCAGGAACTTGATTTCTGTGAGAGCTGCAATATAATCTCAAAATATTTCATAAATAAGTTTTAAAAAAGGAAGAGGAGAGAAGAGGATAAGAGGAAAAATAAGGGACCCCTTTCATCCACCATATGCCACAAATTCTTCCATAGTCAATTTTGTCGTGCTCTATGGTTTGGATTTTTTTTTTTTTTAATTAAGCCGCCACATTCTAACTCCTCTCAGATATTAATATGGCTTGAAGACCTTATATCTCAGCTGCACCTTGACGGCCATTCTTCTCTGCCTGAAGGTATCATTATTGTTGGTCGACACTATCTGACGTAAAAAGGAACCTCGCTGGTCATCATAACAGATCCTAGCATCCACAAGTAGTCATGAATGAAATTTTGGGTGCTCTCACTTTCTTCGAAATGGCTTTTAGTCATTGCCCTCAAAGTTTTCGGGCATATCTAAGATTTTAGTAAGTTCTTCATGCATGATCTGAGCCGGATATTGGTTATACAGCAAATACAGTGAAAGGAGAAGAAAGTTTTTTTTTCCAACCGGAACTAAATGAAGAGCATCTCTATGATGTATTATCAAGCAAATTGCCTTCAATTTTCTCCTAAATTCTCTCCACTTGCAACCCCCTATCTCAACCATTCTTACCATGCAAATTTGAATAACATGGTGAATATCATAGTTAACCACCTAAGATTTTTATCATTCATGTTCAGGTTAAATGGATTTGGGCTTAATCCTTGAAGAGTCGATCAGCCCATATTACAATAGTTTTCATATAAAGCCTCTAGACAACTAATAGAGGTTGGGTCTAGCGAAAGAGACTAGTACCTCACAAAGTGATGAACTAGGATTTAAATTCTTGTTGGAAAAGGTATCTGACAGTACGTCAAGAGGATTGCCTCTAATAGGAGGATACCTGTACTTAGCAGAAAAATGATAAAAGCCTCCAGTCACCTTGGTTTCTAAGTTCCCTGGGAATTTGGATCATCAATGGGGCACATTGTGATGCAAAAGTTGAAGGTTCATCGTTCCACATATGTATTGCTTGCATCTGCCCACAGGATCGACCTCACCAGATGTTTAAATGGAAAAGAGTGTTCGTAGGGAAGGGAAGCTTTTTATCGGATCTTGTTTTCGAGTTCTTACTTTGTTGGATAGCAAAATTTGGGATTATTCACAAACAGTTCTGGTGCTTTGGATATTTTCTGTGTTCAGATACAATTAATCAAGCTATCCCTCTCGAGCAGGTTATCTCACTGCATATTCAGAAGGACATTGACTCTTTCCCTACGTCTCTTTAACCCCATTTCAATTACCATTCTTTTCTTTTCTTTTCTTTTCTTTTGTTTTTTTTGCATAACTTTAGGAGGTCCTTTATTTTTTTCTAGTTTAAATTTTGTTATGTAAACTTTATGTTGCGTTTTAATATCATTTTGCTTTTTCACAGAAAAAATTTGCAGATTTGGTTCTGTTAGGTTATAACTAGCTAGTTCATCCTTGAAAGATTAGAGCTAAGCCCAAGCTCAATACAGTAAGACTATTATGTGAATAAGAAAATATATGGATCCAGACCTAGAGGGAACATTACCTTTGTAATTTAAAATTCAAATCCTAAGAACTATCTATACGTGAGATATGGGAGTGCGTATGTTAGTTTTGGAGAGACAGAGGAATAACTTCCGTACAACTTCTCTCTCAAAAGGCTCCTCCTCTCTTTCATCCGATGACATTTGTTGTATAATAATACTACCTTTCATTATTAATATAAAAGCTCATTTATTTTTTATTTTTATCCTAAATATAAGACTCCATTTTATTTTTTCCTTTATATTTGTCTATTTCTTTTTAAATTAGTTCTTGTAATAATAGTAGTTCTAACCAATATATTTTGATTAGCAGGAATATTTTAGGAAAAACAACATTTATTTATTATAAATAATTTACTTAAATAATTTTCTTAATTTATTCAAGTTAGTTAATTAACTCTTATATTAAAAATTAGAGGCAGTATAATACTCATCCTGTGATTGTATATTGCATGGGCATGCCGGATTACTCATCAGCCGAAATCCTCCGA